TAATAATATGATTATGTAGTTGCAAATAATATAGCAATATTTACAACTATATAATCTGCTTTTAAATTCATAAATTTTGTTTCTTGATATTATAAAACGTAATTATTCAAATTACATTTAGGAAAATTTCTTCTTTAATTTATTAAACTGTCAGAATTGTCTTATTCATTGATGTATGGCTGTATGCATGCATGTGTATGAATATTTTTCTAAAATTAATATTAAATTTTGAAGTTTTTTTTGGAATAAATATATTACTATTTATTTAGCAGATTCTAGGAATAGGAAAATTACTGACAAAAATACAGTTTAAAAATTTTATTTTTTTAGTATAATAACAATTTAAAAAAAAAAATACATACTGCTCATATGACTCAAGCATATATATATTATGCTTAGCATATTTTATGATGATGTTATATACAGTGTATATAACATCATCATATTTAGCATTTTTATATTTAGCTTTTTATGCTATTATTACATTTATCATATTTTATAATTGTATATACGAGGGCAGGCTGCAAAGTAATGCACACATGCTTGTAGAACACGAACAAAAACAAATAGCAAGATCGGACAAAAAGTACATTAAAGTACAATTCTTAAGCTTCAAAATCATATATTTATTTTTCAACATAGCCTTAATGATGACTAACACATTTCTCCCAACATGTAACACGTTTTTTTCATTCCGTCACTGAAAAATTCTTCCAACTTTTCTCGAATCCAGGACTTGACAGCTGCCTTCACCTCATCATCCGAGGTGTAAAGATTACCCTTGAGGTCTCTCTTAAGTAGAGGAAACAAATAAAAATCACAAGGTGCAAGATTGGGGGAATAAGGAGAGTGTGGAATCGATTCAAACTTCAGGTTTCACAGAGCCTCTCCAGTTGCGCGTGAGGTGTCTGGACGAGTGTTGTCATGTTGCAAGATTATTGGTGCCAGGCTGCCTCTAACATGTCAAACTCAACATCAGAGGTGTTTTAGAGTTTTTTGTACTGAAAAGAATTAAACATTGCAACAAGGTGCAACGGTAATTGTCTGTGGTAGTGATCGAACTTCCGCTGTATGTTTCATCAACAATTATGGCTTTTCCAGGCTCGCAACCATGAAATTTTATTATCCATCAATTTACAATAGATCTATCAACAGCATTGTCACCATAAACAGCCTTTAAACATAATTTTTTCAGCAGTTAAAAATTCGATAACAGCATGCTGTTTAACTCACGTTGACATAGCACCAGAACATGTCTCCAAATTTCCACTTCTCAAAATATACTAAATGAACGCAACAACCTCAAACTGCGCATACACATAGAGGGGGAATGTTACTTCCATATGCCACCTGGCAAGCTTCTGAAAATCATTTCATTTGTGCTCTACAAGCATGTGTGCATTACTTTTCAGCCTGCCCTCATATATATATAATCATAAAATATGATAAATTATATCTGTTTTCCATAACAGTATTATTTATTTTTATAGAAATATACATCCTCCCAGACCATAAAAAAATTTACAAAAAACTATGTTCAAAATAATTTAAAAAATAAAAGTAAAAAAAAATCAACATTTATCATTTTATGTTTAAGATATGCCTTAAACATAAAAATAACAATTTGCCACATAAACAAGATATTTAACTATTTTTAAATAAACACTGTTTATACTTTCGTTAAAAATAAATTTTTAAAATTACTTTCCATAAATAAATTATTTTAGTATAAAAATAAAATAGGCAGTTTTCAAATACTTTTTTGATAGCTAAAATAAAAAAAATTTAGTATAGAAAATATTTTTCATGGTAATAAAACTGTTCATAAATTTTTCCAGAATATTAGTTTGTTTATTTAATCTATTTAACTAAAATAAAGTCTATTAAATTTTATTACACCTTTAATATATTTCATTATATTAGGAGTTATATTTAAATTTATTATAAAATAATAAATTAACTATTAAAAAAAATTTATTTTTGAAACTATTTTATAAATAAAATTTATTTTAATATAATAAATTTACTTACTTTTTTACATAATGAATTTGATACAATGAACAATAATAGTTAGAAAAATGAACACTTACAAATTAGAAATGCATTTATTTCAAAAGTTTGTGAGTATTCGTTTTCCAATATTATAATCAGAAAGGAAGATGAAGAATTTTGTCAGTAGTAACTGAATACCAAAATTCCATCGTAATTTTTCAAAAATATCAGAATTAATCTCAATATATAAAGCAGAATTTTAAAACTAGGAAATTGAATTTTAGTAATTAATATTAATAAAATATTCAAACTATAAAAAATTAATGAATTAATATTATTGAATTACAGTTCATTTGTTATTAATTTGTATATTTACTGAAAATAATTAATGTTTTTGATGGATTTTACTTTTGAAAAATAGTTTAGGTCAAATCTAATATTTATTGATGTTCAAAATTAATTGAATTGTGATTTAAATGTTAGTCATAGTTTGTAATAAAAATTGGAAAAAAAATTAATTTTTAATTTCAAAGTATATAATCTACAAATAATTTTCAAAATTCAGACAGTGCTGGATTGGATTAAGAGGTATTAGATTTGGATTTTAATACTGCAAACCACATTTGAACTGTAAACAAAAAAACAGAATATTAATCATGTAATTCCTTCTAAATTGCTGAATTACCTGGATTTTTAGAACATGACTAAAGTATTTCAAATATCTTTTGAAGCTTACTTTTTTTATTCATTGTATATTAATCTCAATTAATTAGATTAAATAAATTTATCATCATCAGTTATAAATCCAGACTTCACTTGTTATAATGAAGGACAAAAAAGTTTTCACACCTGACGAGGACTCATAAATAAAGCAAAAAACATTTTGTGATGATTATAAATAAATAAAATTTCCAGCATAAAGGTGAAAGTTTAGATTCTACAAATTTTCAATCAAAAAAGTTACATAAACTTCTTCAATTGTAAAGACAGTGCAAAGATTTTATCAGTTGTAAAATTACTGTTTGGTTTGAATTTTGATACAAAATTTTTATGCAATATTCATATGTATATTAATATATATTGTTTATATGTCATTATTTTGACTTGATGTGATGTAACAGTTTTTTAAATTATCATTATCATTGTCTAGAATTTTTGATAAATAACTATTTAGAAAATAGATTAAATAAACTGGTTTATGTAATTTTAATAATATATATACTAAACTTTATGTCCATTTATTTTAAAAATATGAATAATTTGAACAAGTATTTAACATTAAATATTTAAAAAAAATTACCTTTATCTGTATATAAATCATATTGACTAAAGTCTGTATGGATCTAAACAAACAAAGCAACAAAAAATGATTTGTTGCAGATCATAATTTGGTAATAAATTAATATTGATATACATTTTTAAATATGCTAAATCTCTAAAAATTTAGCATATTTCATTACTTCAGAGAATAATAATTTATTTAATCTAATTCTTGATTTTAATTTCCATTTTACTTTATAAAAATATATTTTTAGAATCCTTAAAAACAACTTTCTAGATTATATATACAATTTAAACATAATTATTACAATTAGGATTACATTTGAAGTTCTGAAAAAAACTTGAATTTTTTTTTATTCTCTTAATTTCCTATATTTTATTTATTGCTTAAACTTTTTGAGGATTTTTTTATTGTTATAAGCATGGATAATAAATGAAAATATAATAAACCCATATACTTCAGACAATAAATTAAAAAATCCAAATTTATTAAATTTTATAAGCATAAATATAATTTAAAATTTCATGTTAAAATCAGCAAATTTAAATTTGAAATAAATATGTTAATTTGATTTGCTGGGCAATAATTAATGTAATATTGCAATATTGATATAAATAAATGTTTTAAAAAAAGTGCATTAACATTTTAAATTATTTAAATTTCAAAAAATTTTCACATTCAATTAAATAAAAAAACAAAATTTTAAAATATTTAATCTATTACATTATGAACAATGTTATAATTCAGCAAAACATTTATTAAAAAAATATTTAATCAGTTCATCAAAAAATTTATGAAGTAAAAAACAAATATTTTAAATTTAAAAAATTATTTAAAAAAACATTTTCAAATAATTTCATATCAATATTTTTAAATTAGTAATAAGGTTTTGTTATAAATTACCAAGTTAATCTTTTTTCATTTTTTCTTAATATTCATTTAATAATTTAAACAAACGATTAAATTTAAATAATCTAAAATTTAATATTTGTGAAATAATCATTACATTAGTATATAATTTAATATCATATTAAATTCAACATTTTAATATGCACCTAACCATTAGAAATATATTCAAACTGTATGAAATTATTCTTTTCTCTAAATTTATAATTAAAACATTAAAAAACTAGTTTATTATTGCCCAACAATATAAAAATATATAATTTGAAATATAATTTTTTGTTTTAGTAAAATAAAATTGTACAAATGAATAAATTACAATAATTGATGTTAAATAATTTTCATATTTAATGTTTAAAACATATATTAATAAGAAGCAAAAAATTTTGAGGTTATTATTATGCATTGAAAATCAGAATGCAAAAATAAAAAAAATGTAGCATTACAAAAGAACAAAATTAAATCTTATTAATTAATATATTTTGCTTTATTATGATATCCTACCTGCTGTAAGAAAGGAGAAAACTTCTGTCTAGCAACCATCAATCATCAGCAACTTGCACAGGCAAGGAGGAATGTATAAGTGATCAAAACAGTAATAATGATAATGGGTGATAGTCATAGCAAAACTCGCATTTAATTTTTAAATTCAACTAATTAAAATTTAAAATTAAATGAAGCAAATTACAAAAATAAAAGCATGATAAATATATTTCTATAATGTGCAGCAATACAAAATTGTAGTAAGAAGCACAAGTGAAATAAACAGAAAATAATTTTTTCTTTACAAATTTTAATTAAAATATTATATAGGTACACTTACGTCTGGATGTGGAATCGCATATTGTCCTTGCACAGTATATGCCTGCCCACCTGCAAATATAACTGGAGGCATTGCAGGCTTTGGACGGTATGGTATGGTTGCTCCTTTTGGAGGAGACTAAAATAAAACATTTATTAAGTATTTTTCAATAATAAATATTATGTACTATAATATCTATGTCTATATAATGTCTATGTAATATAATATCTATATTGTAATATCATTTTTACAATAATAAATTAAATGCTAATCACTAATAATCAAACCAACTAGAATATTTATAATAATTCTAGTTGTTCTAGTTACTGATAGGTGATAAAATTCTGTAAAAAAAGTTTAAAGAAACTATGAAAGGTATGATGATGATAACTAGTTGTACATTATTATGACATCATCACAATGTCAAGGCTGCAATTTTTAACCATATTTTAACTTTAAAAAATCATGTGACTTCCAGTTCCAACCTAAAGTTCCTAATACAAATATATACATCAATTGAAACCCGATATTAAGCAAATATACTCCCACAATTGCTGTAAATGATCAGGCTGAATATGGATATTATGAATAACCATTGATGGTTATATCTTAAACTTATATATACTGGAACAGGAGAGCATAACAGGCAATGCGTCCGCACAGTAAGCAGGGAGTTGCAGGTTCAAGTCCCACTTTGGCCCGATTCTTTTCTTTCAGTTTAATCTAAATTTATTAATTAAATATTATAATTATTAATTTTAATACAAAATGGTGCCTAACGCCTCACTCTAGTGCCAAATTCATTTCTAATTTATAATCATTATATCCAAATTTAGCCCAATCATTTATGGCAGTTGTGGGAGTATATAAAGTTCCTAAGTTGTTAATTGGGCCCTCCAGCTCTAAGATTTTCATATCTGGTCTCAGTTTTCATTTATCTAATTTTTTTTCTTGATATTAAGGAGATTAAAGACAGATGGATGACAGTGGGAATCTACAGGTCTACAATTTGAAAATTGCAGCCCAATTAAAAAGAAATGATATAAAACACACTAAGTTAATGAAATGATATTCTATGATAACAAAACTGAGGAATATATCAAACAAAGAATTTATTGGAAAATTACAGTTTCACTTGAAATGCCAAATATTTTTCAAACAGAAATATTGGATAACTTGAAATCCACATAAAAAGAATATAAGGTATAAAAAGAATATAAGGCTATAGTATTAGGTCTTAATATAAAAATAATACTCTGTTCATAATAAGATAATGGAAAAGAAATATATCATTATTCAAAATTATGATAATATGATTACTAATGGTCAATAGAATATTATGATGATTATTATTTTTTTTTTAAACTTCAAACATCTACCAATTTTTGTCAGTGGATATATGAAATTCAGATCTTTATAGATTACCTTAGTTTTAGTTGCACACAGTGGTGATATTCAGCGGGTTCGCACAGGTTCGGCCGAACCCGTTGTTAACATTTTCAAAGTTTTCCGAACCTTGTTAAACACACGTAACATTTCTCAGTTGTTTAGTTTCTTTTAAAAAATATATTAAAATATACGTATTATATTCTGTAACACTACTAAACTAGTGCCCTATACCCCGTTCGCCTTGGTGCGACCTCCCTCGACCGTTTCAATCTCGACTGAAACGAGGTTCAATCACGGTCGACTGAAGAAAGTTCTTGAAACTAGATCCAGGGGCCATATTCTGGTCACCGTCGCTGGTCTCTCCTCTCTCACAAGATGGTCTCTGATTGGCTAATCCAAATGATTAGCCAATCAGCGACCGGCTTGTGAGAGACAAGAGACCAGAGACGGTGACCAGAATACCACCCCAGCATAAGAGAGATCCCACAATCCTACGCGCGCAAGAAAATACAAGGTGGCTGCGGAACAAGTGTCGTAATAAAATATGTACAAAATAAACCATTTTGAACACCATTATTATTTATCAATATATATATATATAGTTCTGGCATAAAAAATGTTAAATTTTAACTGACTTAGTTTTGCGAACGCATCTTTTTTTATTTATATGGGTATCTTTGCGCTAATGTTGCTAATGCACCATTTGAGCGAAAAAAAATTGTTAAGGAAAAAGTTTCTGTTAGCGAACCCTTTGTTAAATATTTCGAATATCACCACTGGTTGCACAACACCATAGGATTAATCCCAGTTGAAATTCAGATTGATATCAAAGTGTAAACTGCCAGATTAGAAACACACTGTATTTACTCAAATGTAAGATGCACTTTTTTCAGGTTTTAGTATCTCTGAAAATAGGGTGTATCTTAGATTCAATGTAATACATCACAATTAGTGACCTCATGTGTCCTATTTATCAGTCACTAATTCTATGCAACATTTTAATGATTTTATTAGACCAATATTCATAATAGAAAATATTTAAAAGGTCAATTTAGATCAATCTTGTTAATCTACTACATTAACATCATAAGTATGTCAATGAAAATCCCAGTAAAAGTTGTGTAGTACTCATTCAAGAAATGTTGCATTTTCTATGCTTTAAACAATACTATGACTGCATGTGAACATCAAATCCAGTTTTGATTAATTTTGGTTTAGTTCTCTAAAATTAAACCAAAACTATATATATATTAGTGTTAGTTTTATTCATTATATATATATACAGTATATAATGAATAGAACTAATACTAATACTCAGGAACATGACTGAAACAATGTTATTGATTGTTGATTCAGAAGAGCCTAATATGGCAAGTGAAGAGGTTTCTGCTTTTGATAACAATATGGTAGAGAATGATATATAACTTAGTTTACTTGCAATAAATATTGAACATACATTTCTGTTGACATAAATTTGCCTCTAGTTGTCTATTTAAAAAAAATCATGGGTGAACATATTAAAGTGCAATGTAGAATTCAGTGAATGTGCTAATAGAAAATAGAGACTCATTCTTATAATTTTCAATAACTTGTAAACAAAGACTATGTTTTATATAACATAACATTTATAAATGAATACTATAATTTCATAATTCATTAAATCCATTTTTCTGCACTTTTCAGTTAGTTTCTTTATTATGCAATGAATATTTTATCATCTTAAATATTTCACTGTAAACTATAATAGTTTGTAATCTATTTATATTATATTCAAAATTTTAGATATTATTCTTGAAAATTTGAATAAAGGATTAAGAAGATTTAAATTGTTTCAAGAATTGTTTATATTTCTGGTATTTTAGATTTTGGAGTTAAAATACAAATACAAATTATCCACTATTCTACCATTGATATCTCAATAGTCTATCTATCTAGGATCTTTAATGATTTAGTCTTGAAATATTTATTATTTTGGACAAAATCATGACTACCAAGATTTGTTGGATGTATTTTCAAAATATCCCATCTTTATCAATAGCAAACAGAAAGATATGTGTGCCCAAATACAATTAATATTTACTATATTGTATTTATTAAATTATTATATTAATAATAATTAATATAATAAATATGCCCAAAAAAAAGTGACTAAAAATTTGAACCTAAATTTTACTCCAATTTGGATCTTACTTTTGGGATACTTTGAATCATTGAATATATAGTATAAGAGAAATGATCATTCAAAAGGATAAACAAATCAGTGCTTTAAAGCAATGGTTCTCAACAATTCTTGTGTCATGGACACCTAAACTTCCAACCATGATGGACTACAGATCCCTAGGGATCTGTGGACCATTGATTGAGAAATACAGCTTTAAAGAACAATGGCAAAATATTTCATAGTAGAATAGGCCGCCTACAGAAAAATAAACTAGATGCATTAATACAGATTAAAACTTTTAACATTCTAATAATTTTTCAATAAATAGATAATCAGTAACAGATAATCATTAGCTATTCAGCTATTAATAGGTAGTATAAATTCTAATAAATCCATTTATTATATTTTGCCAGATTTTTGTTCTGTTTGATGATTTCCACAATGGAAGATTTATATAGGATATCATCCAAATATATAACTTAAATGATTTAATCAGTGACACTATGTACACCATCATTTATATCATCATATATTATAATCTGTCTGGCTAAGTTAGTGAGGTAGATTAATATTGACTGATATTAACACATTACAAATGAGGTAGATCTTTATCATCTGCATCAATATGAACATATAAGGCTATTGCTACTAATATCATTCATGTTTTTGAATTTATTACCATTACTTCAAAAGCTTCACTTTTTCAGGAAAGTGAATCACTAAAAAAAATCTTCTGTAAGCATTTGCTTTGTACAACAGAACTATTAAATGACAAAAATGACACAAATTGTTATCAAACATTCTTACATATTTATAATTTAAAGAAAAAAAAAACTGAAAATATTTAATGTCAACTGATATTAAGTTGATATTATTTCATATCATTTGGCTACTCGAAATCATTTTATTTTGGAGCTTTTGAAATGCAAAAATTACTTCAGAAATGTTACCAATTGATATATCATCATCTTCAATGAAATGACATCAAAGCATCATTTCATTGAAATGACATCAAAGCATCATTTCATTGAAATGACATCAAAGCATCATTTCATTGAAATGATATCAAAGCATCATTTCATTGAAAATATGGTAAAATTTTTTAGGAATATATATATTTTCAATAATACATGTGTATACATAAAAACAAAATATAAAAAGAAATTGGGACAAAAGATAAATTAAAAACATTAATACTTTAATCATAAACTTTCAGATGTATTTGCACAATATTTCCAATATTGCTAATAAATATTGCTAGTAGTGGAGAATTTTACCACGAAAAACCAGTTATCCTGTAGGTATAGATATTGTTAATTATCTGATATTTTTTGGAAAGAATAGACTTTAACAAGGTCCATGCTCTTGAGTTAGGCAGAAACTCATGTTTGAAAAATATGTCGCAATCTCCATTGGCAACCAGTGGAGAAAGCAGCACTGGTTCAAGCATGGCTACTGCAATTCTCACACCAGCTTTGGGAAACCAGCCTAATTTTGATGTTTCTGAGGCATCTAGCCATAGACCACCAAGACAGGCAAATCATGCCAACAGATGAAATGAACATCATACATGAATGAGTTTATCATC